ATATATCCTATCACAATGCCAGACGGATCACCGTTACCCACTGACATATCAGGAAACTACGTTACTGATGAAGGCACCATTATCGAGAAGGATGATGAAGGAAGACCACTAGGACCTGATGGACAAGTACTTCCTTCCAACTGATGAATCAGGCTACTACATCTATCCTGTTGTTGGTCCAGACGGAAGTCCTCTCCCCACAGATATGCACAGACGGCCGATTTATCCAGTGGTCGGTAAAGATGGAAAACCACTGCCAACAGACGAGTCTGGAGCATACGTCGGTCCTGATGGACAACCAATACCAACCGATTCTAGCGGAAAACCTCTGGGAAAAGATGGCTCTCCACTCCCAACAGACGCTTCGGGCAACTACGTTACTGTTCCGCTTGAAGAGGCCATCAGTAAACAGCTGCCAACCGATGAAAGCGGAAATGTGATCTACCCAGTCACGAAACCTGATGGCTCACCGTTACCGACAGATACTTCTGGACGTTACGTCACTGATGAGGGTACTATTATTGAAAAAGACAGAAGTGGGAGACCACTAGGACCTGATGGACAAGTACTTCCTACCGATGAATCCGGCTACTACATTTATCCTGCTGTTGGTCCTGATGGAAGTCCGCTCCCGACAGATATGCACAAACGGCCGATTTATCCAATCGTAGGAAAAGATGGAAGCCCACTGCCAACAGACGATTCTGGAGCTTACATCAGCCCTGATGGACGACCAATTCCAACTGATTCAAGTGGCAAGCCGTTAGGAGAAGATGGTTCCCCGCTTCCAACGGATGCATCGGGCAACTACGTGGTTGTTCCAGGTGAAGAAGCAGTGAGCAAGGAACTACCGACAGACGAAAGTGGAAATGTGATATCTGTCGGTAACGGTGAGCCATCAGGTTTCGTGACTGGGTAGATCACATTTCCGCTTTCATCGGTTGGCAGCTGTTTACTGATGGCCTCTTCAAGCGGAACAGTAACGTAGTTGCCCGAAGCGTCTGTTGGGAGTGGAGAGCCATCTTTTCCCAGAGGTTTTCCGCTAGAATCGGTTGGTATTGGTTGTCCATCAGGACCGACGTATGCTCCAGAATCGTCTGTTGGCAGTGGTTTTCCATCTTTACCGACCACTGGATAAATCGGCCGTCTGTGCATATCTGTGGGGAGAGGACTTCCGTCTGGACCAACAACAGGATAGATGTAGTAGCCTGATTCATCAGTTGGAAGTACTTGTCCATCAGGTCCGGTGGGTTTTGGTGCGAGCTCTGCTTGTGTGGTCGTTGCTGGATGTTCTTCGGTAACAATGTGTGATACTTGCGGCATTGGTATGCTCGAACGCTTGCAGTGTTGCTGAATCAATTGCGAGAATGTGCTGCCGTGAATTTTCTCCAGCGCTTCTTGTTTAGATCGTTTATCATCGAGCTTTTCTGGTGTTATGAATAGGTACGCAATACCGCTGACGTCTTCGGGGAGCCTGTAAATATATTGTTGTCGGTATACGTTGAAGACTTTTTGAGATTTGTGATATGTGTTACACTCTTTGGATATTGTATATATTTTATAGGAATGATATACTTCGTTTTTCCGCCTCGTGGTGGCGCATTTTGCTGGGGCTATTGTGTTGGTGGGATCGGGATTGAGGGATGAAGCCGCTACCAGCAGGCCGGTCATGGCACTTGCCGCCTGTCTACTCTTTCTCGGCAGCTATCTTAACTACGTCCTCCTTTTGACTAGAATGCTATCCCGGTATACCCATCGCACACCCAGATGGACTTTCCAGTCAAGTCCATCCTTCTAAATAGTATAGCTCAGAACTTATTTATGAATCACTTAGGTAACGTCAAGTAAAAGGTTTGAATTAGGACGAAGCCACCATTATGATATAAAGCATGGGGTGAGTATTCGTTCCCCACAAATATCGGCTCTCAACAAATCAATTCTTTCAGTGAATTCAAGTAAGCAGCAAACATTCAGGAATCCCTATCTCCACATTTCATGAGCTCCCCATCGTAAGTCTGACTCCGATTGAGATTTGGTGAATTCAAAAACTAAACTCTTAT